TGGAACAAAATCCAATAGATACGTTGAACAATTGCAAAGAGTGAGTGCAAAAAAAGGAAACTCCATGAAAGGTGTCTTGCATGCATTTATCAGTCGCAGAAAAGCGTCCATTCTTTTTTGTCTCATAAAAAACGGAAGTTATTTATGACTCGACCCAATAGTTGTTGTTTGTTGAGATATTTATTTAATTATTTTTAAAAGTAGATATATAATTATGGTCAAATGTAATTGTGCCCACATAATTATGAAAGTGATCTAATTGTATAAAATAAAAATTGAATTTATCAGTTATTATAAATTAAATAAATGCAATGTAATTTTTACGATATTATGAAAAATGAATCTTTAGATAATGTTTGTTATTTCAATATTGCGTAGAATTCATTTATAATGTTTAAATATAAATCTTTAAATATCTCGAAACAAGAGATATATGACTTAGACATAGTTTCATAATTATGGGCATAATTATATAATTAATATAAATTATATTCACACAAATTTTTCTCTCTCATTTTCATGATAATATACCGTAACTATGAATCATACATACCTCGCCCCACGTTATTTAACTTTTCACGAATATTCCTTCAACATTCCATTAACCTTCATCATTCGTTCCATCGAATCAACGAATCGTGAAGATAAGGTCAACTTCAAAATAAAAAAAAAAAAAATAAAAAAAGAAGGAATTCTTCTCTCAATGACATAAAGATACGCTCTATCTAGTTTTGAAAACCGAATGAACCGTTTGAAAACAACAACCGAATCATCAAAAGATAAAAATAAAAAAAAATAGAACAAAAAATAAAAAACCCATAGAAGTATCTTATATCACAGGATTACACATTTTATTCGTTCAATCCCATTAAACAAAAAATAATAATAATAAATATAATAATTATAATTATAATATATTATAAAATATATAATTGTGTATGTGTGTGTGTGTGTGAGAGAGAGTATAAATTTGAATTTTTGAACTTGAATTTTGATTGCATATATTATCATAAATTATTTTTATTTATTATATTTATTATATTTTATATTATGTGTATATATATATATATATATTGTTATTCTAATTAAGTAATCAATCGTATTGGTAAGGGTGCGAAGGGGTAGGGTAGGGTAGGGGTTAGGGGGTAGGGGGGAACTTTAGGATCAATGATCTTTGGTAGACGGCCATTGACTCGCGCGAATATTAATTCTTTCAAACTCTTACACGTGTTATTTCTCACACACACAACAAACACACACATACACACAGACACATACTTTCTTTCCTTGATTCCTGAACAGGAGGAGGGAGGAAGATGGGAGAAAGGGAGACCCTTGGATGATCACTTACGTCACTCTTACACACGTAATACAATAAATACTAAAACGTTATTGGTACTTATCGTGACGAAAAAAAAAATAAAAAAAATAAAAAAAATTGAAATAACATACAAGAACGTGTCTCGTATCTTACGACCTTGGCAATGTATTTACAAGATCATTTAATTCTATCTCTCTCTCTCTCTCACTCTTTTTAAAAATATTTTCTTTCTTCAGTAAAAATATTTGTATTAAAGTTTGATCAATCAATTATTATTATAATAATATTATTATTATTATTATTATTATTTTATCGATAGATAGTGTTTGGCAGTGTTAATAAAAAGAAAAATATAATTTTTATGGAATTAAATAAAAAATTAAATATTTAACAAATTTTTAACAATATATATATATAGTTGAATTACATTTAATTAATTTATTATTATATTATATATAATAGAATTTATATTATATTTAATTTGTCATATATATATATGTATGTCACTGTAATAATATAAACTGTATATCACATATACAGTTTGTATTATTATATTTTGTTTTTTTTTTTTTTCATGGAATAAAATCGTCTATTATTTTCCACGTGAAGAGAAGGTAAGAGGGGGAGATTAGGGAGAGAGTTCCATGGGTTCTATGATTTCATAGCACATGGTGCGTTTATAATCTTACAGCATAGAGAGAAAAGCGTGACAAATATTACACCTAGCATACATACACATACTATGGCAGTTCTTCACTGACATACTATGGGGGTTCCGTAATATTCGTAATCTCGATTGAAACGGACGAGATGACACCTTACTTCCTAGGACATCGACTTTACCTGAATTATCAGACCTTGACGACCCCTTAGGTCATTGTCTCAAAGGAATTTTCTATAGTTTTAGATCACAATTCGTAATAATACCTTTACAATATCTATTTTATTCAATAAAACTATTTTTTTATTATTATTATTATTATTATTAATTTTTTATTTATTGAATGCCTATCTAAAAAAAAGGAGGGTATGTTTTGTAGAAAAATAATATGATTTTATTTTTTTAAATAATCAATCAATCATTTTGAATAATATTGTTGTACATATTATTTTAAAATAATTTGTTTAATTATAAATTTAATAATTTAAATGTTATTTGGATTAAAATTATTTGCTATATTTGAACAAATGTATAGATTAATATCGTATCATGGTTATGTCAAATTTATTCGTGAAATTATTAAAATAAATTAATATAAATAGTAAATAATTAATAATATAATAATAAATAAATATATGAAATATTATTTTAATTGAAATGATTAATTAAATTTGAACAAATGTACCAATTAGTCTCGTGTCAACATCATTATGTCAATTCATGAAATTAATTTTATAATAATAATAATAAAATATTAAATTAAATGATATACAACGCAATAGAAATATTTCATTTTGTTTCTAAAAATTAAATTGTAAACTCTACGTTAATTATAAAAATATTAATAATAATTTATTTTATTTTTTTTTTTTTATTTTTTAAATCAGATAATAATGTCATTTGAATTTCTATGTCAAGAGGTTAAATCTTCTTATCTTGTGATTATCAGAGAAAATTCGCGTTGAATGATATTGCGAGTTTTTTTCTTTTTCTTTTTGTTTTTTTGTTGTTTTGTTTTCAAAAATACCGTTTTCAACCTAACAACCGTATGTTTAATATAACATCCAGTAGAGTGACTTCACACTAACAGGTTCTTTACAAATTATATGTTATAAACATTTGGGTCGTGGTATCGTTACAAGGAAATACGTATATGTGTAGGTATGTGTGTTATTTGACCGCACTGTAATAAGATTGAGAAAATAAATCATCCAAATGATTTAGAACTAAATGAAATATAAAAAAAAAAAAATATAATAAAATAAAATAAAAAGAAAATGACAGATTGAGTCAAAAGTTCCGTCTCATAATACAATTTATTATTACTTAATAAAAAAAAAAAAGAATTTTATTGTTTATGTTAAATACAGGTATTATTGACATTATAAATAAATCATACCGTGAAGTATTAGTATTATTGCAAAGAAGAAGAAAAAAAATGATCTTGCGTGACCAGGACAAAAAAAAAGGACCCCCCATCATTATTTTTCTCAAAGATAAAACAAAAAAAACAACAAAAACAGATAAAAAGAGAGACACGTCGTGCGAATGTGACGCTTGTCCGTAAAAACTTGACTGAATTTTTGTCCTGAAATATTTTTCTTATTTTTCTTATTTTTTTTTTTTTTTTTTAATCCTCTTTTTCACGGATTCCAAAGACTAAAATGCGATCAGTGTGGGTACCGTTAAAAGGTGTAGGGGGAAATTGCCAACCATGGGTGTTCAATTTATTGCAAGCACGTGTTGTTATTGGACATTGAATCGCGACGCTTGGTTGATTTTACTCTTGATACATAAGATTCATATAAACGTATATATAAAACAAAACTAAAACCAAAAAAAAAAAAACAGAATAAAATAATAATATAACAAAAAAAAAAAAATAATGACGTAACACGATCGAATTAGAAATGAATCGTGCCCATAATTATGAAAGTGATCTAACTAAGTCAAAATTATACCAAAAAAAAAATAAAAGTGTTTATTATTTATTACGTACCACATTATTTTAAGCTAAATAAATTCAATTTAATTTAAAAACGATATTGTCAAAAATAAAATCTTTAAATATTTCGAAACAAGAGATACATGACTTAGACCAGGGGGTCTAAGGCAATCTTTTAAATCGGAAGAGCCAAAAATTACAATTTACAAAATTTCAAAGTTTTTAAACAGTCACAAAATTTGTTCTTCCCAACAATAAATAGTAATCGCATAAATAACATTTTTTGAGTAAAAAAAAAAGCTAATCTATTTATTCATCGTTGCTTAATCCTCAACGATATTGCATGTGGNAGCCGCAGGTTGCCGACCCCCTGACTTAGATCACTTTTATAATTATGGGCACAATTATATTCTCGTTTAATACTTAAAACGTATCGAGAACTTTATATGTTTATGTTATTTTTATCAAAACTTATCAAATAATACATATTTAAAAATATATATATATATTGTTATTATTAATACAAAACGTTGATATTTAATATAATTCTAAATTATTCAATGCAGTTAAATTAATCTGAAAAACCTGAAAAAATTGTTGTCACGTGATAAGAAATAATTGAATTGTAATACAGAGCCATCTATTGCAAATTTACAGAATCTAGAGACTAAGATAACCTCTAAAATAATAAATTCTTAAATTAGCGATAAAAAATAAAAAATAAACGCGGGTAAAGCTATTTTGTATTTTAAATTAGAAACAATTACATAAAATAAACAAAATTTCATTAAATTTTGGTAGTTTTTGTTTTAATTTAGTTTAGTAATTTGGGGATCTATAAAAAAAATCAATAATGTTACACTGAATTTTTATAAATAAAGATATAAATATATTTAATTTATTTTTTATCATACATGTATAGCAACAAATTATAACATTTATGCAATAAACATTTATTGATTAATCTAATATGATAACAATTTGTAAGAAATTGCATTGTGTAAATACTTTTAAGTGTTTAAAGTAAAATATGAAGTGTATATGTGTTAAAAAATAATTCTATCATTTTACAGAGTGATTATTATTATCCACCCCGATCAACGTGGTCAAGGGTAACACAACATCCAACTAAAAAACAAAATGTCAATTCAACTTGGAAGATTGGCAGTGCTATGCTGATAATTTCAGCGATGCTTGTGTTAATTGCAGTACTTGCTATAGCTGGTCTTGCATTATGGTTGGGTGGTAAGTTTTTCTAATATTTATTATACAATAAAATTATATATATATAAGAAAATATGAAATAAAAATTCACATTTGTGTTTCAGCATTGAGAAATGATTCTAAAAATGGTGAGTAATTTTTTTATTATAATAAATTATTAAAAATATATATATATATATATATAAAAAATAGTTAAATGTCAATTATAAAAATAGTATTGCAATTTTAATTGATTTTACTTATTTAATAAATAATATATTATATTATTATTATATTAACAAATGTTACAATGAAGATATTATACTCCAAGATTGGATTTATTTAATATTGGATTTATTAATATATTAATAATGTTATTAACGTTTTTGTTTATTATATTATTAAATATTAATTAATGTGAATTAATTTTGTCAAATATTTACAAAATTCAATTAATCCTTTTTAATATTTTTTGTTTTTGTTTTATTCACTTTCACAGCTATCATTGGATTCACTTGCAATTTCAGAGTAATTAAAGGTGAAAGATATAATCCAATGTTAAAATTGAACACCAGTATGGTGTTTAAAGATAAAGAAAGAAAGTACAAAAATATAGTAAGTTATTAAATGTCAAATATATAATTGAATATATCAATTTTAAATTATATATATATATAATATATTAAATTTTTCTTTTTAGTTTGAATTATTATTCAGAAGAAGTGTATTAAGTCCAGCATACAAACAAACGATTATAGATAAATTTGAAAATGGTACACTCAAAGTTTTCTTTAGATTATATTTAGATAGAAGGAAGATACCAAGATCAATAACAAACATTGAAGATACCATTGAAGATATTATTGCTAAAGAAACTTATTCTGTCTCATCATTGTTCAAAGATTTGGAATTAGATCTTGCAAGTATCAATGTTAAACGTAAGTAATCACAAAATAACACATATATCCTCATATATATATTTAATTTATTATATTATAATTTATTTCAATGTTTAATTAACACAGGAATAAATCAAGATATAACAACGAATCAAAAACAAACGATAAATCAACAAAGAAATGCCATGATCACAAAAAATGGTTTACTCCGACCAAACAGAACGAGTCCATTGATAACTGGAACCAATAAACCAAAGTCTAAAATAACTAAAATCGAATCTAACGAGCCAGAAATTGATTTTAATAATATACCAACGATTCAAGGTACTTACAAAGCAACCAAAGTCAATGAAACTATGAAAAATTCGACCAAATTGGATGATAAAACTATCGAATCAAATGTTACAAATGTTAAAGATGATTCAAGATTGGACGAATTAATGAAAAGTACCATTTCAAGGATTGATAATAATACCAAATTGGAATTAACATCGATTCAAACGATTTCTAGTACAACGATGAAGTACAAAACTACGAATAAAGTTGAACATACAGCTGACATCGTTAATAATCAAAAAGAAATGTCATTACCATCTGTAAAAGTGTCATCAAGTACTACAGCAAGTACTAGCAGTGTTGTTTATCAAGATTTTCATAAACCAGATCTTGAAACTTCACCATGGAAACCGATAGTTCCTGAATATGTTAACACAGAACTTAAATTATTGTTAGAAACAACGATGTCATCATTGAACACTGATTCTAATGTTCAAAATCCGGTATACAATTTACAGGATAAAATTATAGAAAATACTAAGTCAAAATTAGTAAATAAAATGTCGGAAAATTTAGAACCAATTAATACGAGAATTGACGTATCAGGAATGAGTACGTTGGATGAAGAAGACACTGATTTTCCACATGACAGAATTGTTCCAGAAGATATGGTCAATTTTCGGGTTAATGGAAAGTTTAAAAATAAAATACCAGGTTTAATGGATGACGGTAATCTGTTCACAGCACCAACACCAACGATTGATGACATTAATAAACCAAGTATCGAAGTGTCAGGTCAATTACCATCGGAAACTTTTGATTTACGATTGAGTACTTCATCGGAATTAACAAAAACTGATGAACATAAGAAACAACATTTTTATCAAACTATCGATAGATCTAAGACAAAAGTTGAATCAATCGATTCAACTAATGAAAAAAATGAAAATTCGAATGTTACAAGGTGGAATTTTCAAACGAACAAACCTAACATTAGTGTAAATGATGAATCAATCGATAGTAGCATCTCTGGAATAGGTGTAGCTGAACCTGTTCCAGATTTAGATGAAAATTTGGAAACCAGAAGTAGATTCAGTGTTATCGAGGCATTGGAAAAAGATCAAAATGATGCATTACGTGACAGAAAGGTTGATCAGAGACCAATTTACACGAGTTATCGTAGTCCTGATTTGAGTGGTAGTGCAATTAGGCCTAGTAGTCTTATTGAAAATTCTGGAACTATTAAACCCTTTCGACATACAATTCCTGTTGATAAAATTACATCGGCAATCATTACGGAAAATGACAATAAAAGATTACCTGTAATATCGGTTAATACTGACGATGAAAATGATGAACATAACCTCAATGATAAATGGTTGACATCGATGGATATTAAAAAAGCTACCGAAATGATTCATTTAAATAAACCTAATTACGAGTCATCTGTTAAAAATGAAAACATCGAATTAACCGAACCACCAACGATATCAACGAAATTTAATGAAGAAGAATTAATCGATGACGATGAAAAAATTTTGAAACTGGGTACAACTGAAGTTTATTCAGAAATATTACATCCAATCAATAATGATAATGGACAAAAATTAATTGTTAACAATGATGATCAAAACAAAGATATGATACCAGAAAAATTAACTTCCAGTGTATCAAGAAATTCAACTTTCATTGAAGTTGATACAGTTCAACATGTACCTAATCGAGATAACAACGATGAATTTGATGATACTAATTCAAAAAATGAAAACAACGATGTTCCCATTAATCCTCATTTGACAACTACTCCAGGAACACGTAAAAAAATTTACAACGACACGTTGAAAGCATACGTGGTTGAAAATTTGGTTACTTTGGCACCTGTTAAAAGTAATACAGGTGTTGGTAGACCTGTCAGACCTAGACCTAAAATTGATAATGACAAATCAACGAAAATTTCATTGAAACCATCTGCCGTCAGAAGTACACCTGAACGTTTAGATGAAACAACGTTGCTCGAACAATTGTTCGGTTTAAAAACATTAGAAACAAATGATAAGAATAAATCTAATTCAAATAATCATACGTTTGATAATACTAATCAAAATAATACTCGTATTGAACAAATCGTTGAAGTTGTAACATCAGTAAGTACAAAAGTATCATCCAAGGAAAATCCTGATCGTGTTGTTCTCAGATTTGTCGTAACGAATTCAACCTCATCACCGATAATTCATACAGATGGTAATAAAAAATCAGACAAATTATTGTCATTTGAAAATACCGAAGAAAAACGTTCATTCAAAAATGACAATCCTACAAACTTAAATCCACTGACCATCTTAACATCCGATAGAAAAATATCAACGTCAGAAGAGGACCGTTTTATTTTGGATAAATTGAAACAATTAGCTGAAGTTAGAACACACGATAATAAACCTAGCCTAAAAATTGTCAAAAATTCGTCAGATCATTCTATACAAAATTCCAATTTCCAATTAAACGATAGCAAATTGATATCGCATTTTGATGAATTAAAAAAAATCGCTGACGTAGCAATTGGAAACGAGACATTGAAAAATGACAGTTCGTTGTTCACGTTGAGCCGTGACGGTGTCAGGATTTTAACGAAGATAATGAACAAGGTGAATGACGATGACAACGATCATCAAATGAAAAATCATACGACGGAATATCCCGATTTAATAATATATGGTAAATAATAATTGATAAACGAACTACTACTACTCCTATAATCAACCTTTAAGGATTCCCAATTGAATGATTGATGATCATCATATACATATGTATATATTTTTCACAGATAACTGTCTAGGAGGTGATGGATTTCGGTGCAACGACAACAAATGTTTGCCATCCAGTGCTAGATGCAATATGTTAGGTGAATGTAAGAATTCCGAAGACGAGGCCAATTGTACCTGTGCTGATTTTTTAAAAGCCCAATTACTACATCAAAAGATTTGCGATGGTACACCAGACTGTTGGGATTATTCCGACGAAACTGATTGCGGTGATTAACTGCTCTAAAACAAACATAACCTGTAAAATCAAAGAATTACAATACTGTCTCATTTCCCATGTTGACAGATTGGTGTGTCGAGGGTCAGTTCGTTTGCGGTAACAGCAGGTACTGCGTGGATCAAAACAAGGTTTGTGATGGTTTCCGTGATTGTCCTACTGGTGAAGATGAAAAAAAGTGTGCTGCATTGATCGAGGATTATATCGAACAAGTAACTGACATCTTTGAAAATAAAACCAGTCTATTGGGGAATGGAAATGAAGGAAATGACGAAGACATCTTCAACAAGTCTGAAGATTATTCGTTCGATATGGAAACCGGTCATGATGATGTCCAACACCAGGTGTACGATGATCAAGAAGCTGTGGAATCCACGTTATCCAAAACATCTGCCATACCTGATTCCTTAAATTTATCAATGAACAGAGACACTTACGTGACTGTTGTACAAACGACTATATTACCGGAAGAATCCACAAACTTAACCTATTTAGTATCGGGAAGAGAAATATCTTCAAATTTGAGAAACAATCTTAACAGTGGAACAACGTCCTATCACACAAAAACAAATTCTGCGATTACTTCGATCAAAGGATTTGAAAAAGAATTAAATGGTTACAACGATAAAGGTTATTTGAATATTAGAAAAAATGGCAAGTGGGGGAAACTTTGTTTAAATTCGACCAATAGTTATGACCAGGAAAGACAAACCAATTGGACCATTGAAGATCTTGGTAGGGCTGTTTGCAAAGCTATCACTTATCAGTAAGTTACGATCAATTTATTTTTTATCTTCTTTTAGCAAAAGAAAATAATTCAAATAATTAATTGTAATTTATTGTACAGAGATTATGAAAAAGTAGAAAAAGTTTTTGAAGAAAATCCATCGAAAGGTAATTCGTATTACGTGTTGTCGTTCAATGATAAAACATCTGACAAAACCGTGTTGACTTTTAAACCGTCCAATTGTCCCAGTGGTGAAATTCTTAAGGTCAAGTGTAAAAATTTAGAATGTGGAATAAGAACTCAAACCCCATCGCAAGCCAGGTAAATTGTCCACGTGTGACTCCCAGTTTTTTTCAAGTTTCATGTATACACCAAGTGAATTTCATTTGAAAAACAGATCTCACGTTTCACGACGTTACAGAATTGTTGGGGGCGGTAGTTCATCGGCTGGAAGTTGGCCTTGGCAAGTAGCACTTTACAAAGAAGGGGATTATCAATGCGGAGGTGCACTTATCAATGACAAATGGGTACTCTCAGCAGCCCACTGTTTTTATCGGTAAGTTTTGTCTTGACAATTTTTCATTTGACCCTATCCCTCTCACTCAATAAGATTATTTTCAAAGTATAATATATTTTTCAATGATAACTTTTTTTAACAATTGTTTCGTCATTTTTATTTTTAACCTGTTAACCAGGAGAAACGTATAAATACGTCACAAACGTATTTTACATATTTTATATATAAATAAACGAAAAAAATATATATATATTTCATAGTGTTTTCATTTATTTGAAGCATAAATAATAATAAATAAATAAATTAATAAAAAATAATTAAATATAATAAAAAATATATAATTAAATAAATAAAATAAAATAAAATAAAATAAAATAATATATAAATAAATAATAAAACAATAATTAAATAAAAATAAATAATAAAAAAACTGTGCAATTAAAAAGGGAATTCCCCGGTTAACGCGTTGAGCGCCACGCGCGGCAAAAACGAAAAGTTAAACGTCAGGCACCGATGCTTGACATGGCCTCCCTCAACGTTTTAAAGTTAAACAAATAACTTTGAAACAAAAAAGATTATCAAAACGAACGATACCTCATTTTAAAGCTTTAGTCTCTTTTGTCCCTATCGATAGAAACAAATGAAAATAAAATGAAACAACAAATGATAAAAAATATTTGTTTAGTACTCTCGACGAGTATTGGGTTGCAAGAATTGGTGCTACAAGAAGAGGAAGTTTTCCAAGTCCACACGAACAATTGTTACGATTGGATCGTATTGTACTTCATCCTGATTATATTGACAATGGGTTTATCAATGATATAGCATTACTCAGATTAGAAAAATCGGTTACTTTTAGCGATTATGTTAGACCAGTATGTTTACCACAGAATGAACCTAAAAGTGGTACAACATGCACTGTAACCGGTTGGGGACAATTGTTTGAGATCGGTAGAATATTTCGTAAGTTTTAACATTAATATTTATACATTAAATATTGTCAAATAATGTTGTAATATTTGTTTTTATATTATTGACAGCTGATACTTTGCAAGAGGTTCAATTACCTTTGATATCAACTGAGGAATGTCGTAGGAAAACTATCTTCTTACCTTTATACAGAATAACATCTGGAATGTTGTGTGCTGGATTGAAAGATGGCGGAAGGGACGCGTGTTTGGGTGACAGTGGTGGTCCATTGGTTTGTTCTGGATCGGATAATAAATATACCATTCATGGTAAAATATATTAAAAAGAAAATGAAATTGTTTAACATTAGATTTACGGATTGAATATTAATTTGACTCTTTAAAAATTTGATTACTATATATTTAGTATATTGTATTTAATATATAGTATATACTCTCTCTCTCTCTAATTATTATAATTAAAATTATTTAATAATATATAATAATATAATAAAATTATAATAAAATTGATAAAATTTTAATATTAAATTTAATTTTATTATAAATATATTATAAACTAATATCTATATAACTTAAATATTATTTTTTTAAAAAACATAAAATATTTAATTACCTAATGAAATATACATAAAAAATTAATTTTTTTATTCAAATGATATTCGTATGTCATTAAAAAAAATATATCCGTAAATCTAGAGTTTAAATTAAAAGATCATAGTTGATAAAATGAATAATTATTGGTTTTATTTTTTTTTTTAATTAATTTAGGTATCACTTCAAACGGTTATGGCTGTGCAAGACCAGGAAGACCTGGAGTTTATACGAAAGTTCATCATTATTTATCATACATTGAACGTGTTATTAATTCACATGACAACGTACCATCTATTATAGCATCCTGTAAAGGTCACAGATGTCCTTTGGGTGAATGTTTGCCTAAATCAAGAATATGCAATGGATTCCTCGAATGTTCCGATGGCAGCGACGAACGTGATTGCTCTACGAATTTAAGATAAAAAAAAAAGAAACAAAAAAAAATGCAAAAAAAAAAAATAAAAAGACTGACACACTCACGTATTTATATACATATATATTATATAAGATTATTTTTTTCCACCATTTTTTTTTTCGTATCTTTTGAAAGGTTTATTTTTGACATTTTATTCATTTGCAAAAATCGATTCAAAGGATACGAAAATTCGAACGATATTTTTTTTTCTTTGCATTTATTCGTAGAAATAATCGAACACGAATAAATGCAAAAGTGCAAATTATTTATAATTCGTATTAAAAAAAAAAAAAAAAAAAAAGAAAAAAAACATATCAGTGAGACAAACCTAACCTAAATTTTTTGTTTCTGGGTGGTGTATCTTGTAAGATATTAAAAAAAATAAGGTGTCTATATAAATAGAAAGAGAGAAAAAAATATTAATTAATAAATAATTTCTATCGATTTTTATACTAACCCTTTTTTAGTGCCATATTAACCAACCCTTATCGGTATTTATGTTTGCATATACCGTTGTAAATGAAATTAGCACTAAAAGGGTTAAATTGCATTTGAACAATTGTCACAACTGTAAGTTGTTAGATAAATTAATTAATTAATTAATAAT